CTGTAGTGATCATGGGTATTTTCAGCAAATGGGTTGACCATTGAGATGTCACAACAGTCATGTGTTCTGCAAGTCAGGCCATGAGTGTTAAGGCTGTGATCTGTTCACCTGACATTCTGGCACAGCTGGAGAGATTTAAGAAGTTACCACTCATCAGCTCTCCCATAACTGCTTCTTCAGTGCAGAGGCAGTAGGTGATCCACCTTAAAGGTTAAGGTGAGAATTCTTAATTTTCTTCAGTGCGAAGTCAGCTGGTTTAGTTTAAAAAACTTCAGCCATGATTCAGAGATCAGAGAGTTTTTTTTCTTCCCTAAACTGACCACATACCACAGGTAACATGTTACAGAAAGGACCTCTCTTCTCGCAAATATTGGGGTAATAAATTATCGTTGGTTGTTTGACGAAGAAACATGATATTAAAGCATATGAGGCCTGGGAAAAGTATTAGTCCTAGCACATCTCAATCTGGTTTGCCAAGGCAACAGCTTAAGATAGTTTGATATGACTGTGTTGTTTGGCAGTATTTCAATAAATGTGCATCATGGTGAGTCATACCCTTAATAAGCAATGTTCTATTCTAGCAGGAAGTGCCTTTCTCACAGCCAAGAGAATCATCCTTTTAGTTCCCTGCCACATTCAGAAGTAAAGTCAAACCATTTCATCCATCTATTAGTATATTTCTCCAGAACCAGACAAAGAACCATGAAAATGTATGGGATTGTGGATCATGCAGCTGGCTGACTTATGGCAGTGAAAAAGATGGCACATAAGGTGTGCAACGTTCTTTCAGAGGCTGAGACAAAAGCAGGGAAATAATTGCATCACTGTAAGCAGTAAGTTAGTAAGTTTGTCATCCTCTGAAAGTGCATCAAGGTGATAATTTCGTTTTCAGCATCTTCATAATCAGTGTAAAAATGTTAAAGCCTGTTTATAGAAAAAGAGGCATGAGAATGTTTAACACACACACACCAAATTCTATCATGTTTATGGTATTTAAACATCTTGCATCGAAATATCTGACATTGAAAGGCAACCCAGTCATGGTGAGGTTGAGGAGAACTGCTAATTCACTGATTTGAAACCAAAACGATGTGATTGCTCATATTCATGTCTTATTTTAGTCTATGTTCTCCACATCTTATGCTATGTTCACATTGACAAGTAGTAATGTCTAGTAGGAGCAGACATGTAGAGTGAGACAGTTGCTGCTAAGGACCTGGTATCCATGCCACGCATTTCAAGAGGTCTTTGGATTGGCTGTAGCATGTTCCTGTGGATTGAGAGATGCCCTTTATGGTTGGACTGCATAAGAAGTGCTCTCGGAGTGCATCTTCTGATAATTATCAAAGGGGTCCTGTTTGTGTGTCTGTGACTGCTCAACCACACAGCCAACGCATGGGAGATGAGGACTATGGAGACACTGGCTTCAAAAGCCCTCTACTAATTGTGCTAAAATGCTAATGTAGACAGACCTTTTGTGGTACTTGGTCTTCTGATGCTAAATGCTGCTGAGGTTAGATACCTTTCTAGTTCTTTCCTGTATTTTTTCTTGTCTCTGTTCCATATGCTGTATACAGAGGAATATGAAGACTTAGTAACCTTGCCCTGGCTTTAGCTATTAGACCCCTTCTTCCTCCCTTTCCCACTGCTGTCCACACAGGAAACACCACTGAAAGCCACAGGGAGAAGCTGTTTCTGTTGCTCAAACCTTTGTCCTAGGATTTTCTCTTTGAGACTGATGACTGCCACACTTAAGAAGAGGCATTAGGCAGATTTGCATCTGTCAGAGTGCACAAAAGTCTCCGTATTTTTAAAACCATGCCCAAATACAATATGGTTTCGGTCCATAAAGCAAGCTGCCACAGTGATATGCCCAAAGCTCACCTGATTCAGACCATATGGCTCAGAACCGAGAAGGGCTTTAGGCTTAAGAAATCCATCTGCTTTTAAAAGGCCCTATCCGTGAAATCAGCACATAATTTTTCTCATCATTAAGCATCAATGAAGGTATCTGTCATTGTGGCACAATACATCAGTGATCAGATCTTGCTCATCTTTTTCATTCTGGAGAAGAGAATGATAATTTCCAGCCTCTAGAATGTGCTGAAATGAGCTGTAACCTACAGCTTGCGTTTTTGCAACTGAAAATATAACCTCACTTGAAGGCTGAGCATAGTACGGGCTGTGCTAAGCACTTGGAGCTCCCCTTAAAGTTAGTGAAAACTGTGGGAGCTCAGCATCTTTGAGAATCAGGTGCCACGGGAGCAGGATCAAAAGAAAGCTTGCTAAGGTTTTCCTTTACACCATTGGCTTGTATAGAGAATTCATGGGGAAGTTAGGATGCAATGTGTGTTGGTAGACATCAGCATTAGCATTAAGCACAAGACAGAGAAGACAGGCCGCTAAAGAACATTTAACCATAGGATGCTGGTGCTTTTCTGACTGTGGCCTTACAGTAACTAAAATGAACTCGTGTGGTCGTAGCTCTGTCATTGTTGTTCCCTTATTTGCGCCTTGAAACCAACATGCATTAGACAGCCCAGTTAACCTTCACTGCTAGGGGAAAAAACCCAGAGCTGTGTTACTGTGGTAACTGAATCATTTTTCGCTTTAAGATGGAGCAGTTCAATGCAACGTATTATGAAACAGCCCACTCCGGTCAGGATGAAACATGCAGGATGCCTGACAGCTTGGCGCTCACTCTGTGACTGAATAGAGAGCTCCCAATTAATGTGCCATTCTTCTTTTAACTTTAATAATCATTGCTATAACTCAAGAGGATCGTTTCTAAAACATTGGACTGGCTGCCACATAGACATAAATGCCCAAGACAGGAGTTTTCACCATTGCTGTTGTTTATTATACGCATTGCCAGGGATGCTGATCAGGATGCTGCTATGTAAGGGTGTAAGAACCGAATTAATATCTCAGCAGAAGAGATGAAGCATGCCTTCTCCACTCGGATAATACTTCTTACATACACAGAAACCGACACGGGAGTTTTAGGCTGAGAGAATTAGGCACCAGAATTAAATGGGAAATGGGTGCAGGACTACTTTAGTGCCTCTAACATTCCCAGCTGTTCTTTGGGGGAAAATGGTGGTGTGGAGGACTGGAAATGGAATTGTTTTCTCCCTTCAGTTGTATATAAACCTAGATACTATATAAAAATGACTGTAATCCACAGTTGTTTTATTTAAGTAGGGGAGGGGTTGTGGTTGTTCCTCTGTGATGTGAAGAAAAATCTCTATTCCAGGCCATAACAATTGCCACTTCAGGATCTTGCAAAACAGATAAAAGGGAAATGGTTAACAGGAGATAGAGTCATTATTCCTGTTATAACCCATTTAAGTTCATATTCAGTTGAAAAATAAGTCAAAAGGAAAATTAACAGGTTTACATTCATCCCTGCTGCCACAAAATGGTCCGCCCTTAACAGTTAAGCTCTCCTGTGTGGTTTCCACTGAATGGGCATTAAGCTGGGGCAGTGAATTAGGGTGTTGTGTACAAAGGGGCACAAGGTGTAGAGATTTCATGCCTTTTCCTGAGGGAATGTTTGTGCATTAACACTGATATAATAGTGCCTGGCTATGACAAAGATGAGCAGCTGAGAAATACATGTAATAAATAATGCACATAAACAGGCAAGATCGTTTCTAAGGGAAGTAAAGTGGAAGCCAGCCTTTTTAGCTCACGGCTAATGTGATGGAATAATAAAACTCCTTCCGCGATGCTGTTGTCTGACTTGACATGCTTTGTTTTTCTCCTTAACAGGGGAAGTGTTCTTGCAGATTAAAGGCCCACTAGAAGACACGTATAAAATCTACTGCTATCGCCACGATGATGCACACACCATGCTGGAATCTTATGAAAAGGATGAAGAACTGAAGCAGCATTTAAGACACTGTGTACAGTCCTTAAAGTAAGATCTTTTCAAATGATGATTTCCGTCCGTAGTCAGTTGCCTGGCAGGGAACATTTTAAATGGATGTAGATGAAAGGTCCCCTGTAAATCCAGAGTTTTATGAGGCTTGCTGGGAGCTCTGGCTTTTGCTGCTTTCATGAAAAGATGACAAGCCAGGGGCCATGATTAGATTTCTTTCTCTAAGATGGCCAAAAATAGCGCAAGAAAGGTTGCTCTTGCCTTAGCTTCAGTGCCCTGTACTCGCAAAAAAAAATGCTGCATCATGTCATTGACTATTGGGAACACCTTGCCCAGCTCCCAAGAAACTTGCTGCCCCCATATTCAGTGGTTCTATTGCTTGAATTAAAATAGCCTGTAACAGAGCTATTCACATGCCCTGGCGTTTCTGGGTCCCCGTTGCAAGACCCCAGGGATCTGGAGTGGCTGTGTGGTGCTGGACCCCTCATGATGAAGGTATTTGAGAACAACCAGCATTGGAACAAGCTGCCAGGTCCCACCAGTGGAAGGTGCTTTGTGCCATCGACTCCAGTGCCAGCCCCTCGGGGAAATGTGTCAAGAACTGGGGATGCTGCAGAATAACATATCCATCTTTCCTTCAGTGAAGCTTCCTCCTTCAGCCAGTCGCAGGAAACAGCTCATCCACTCCATGGAGAGTGCTTCTCTTCCCACCCATAAATCCCCTTGCCCCCTCACTTTCCCAAAAACATCACACAGAGCTGTCAGGAGGGAACACGCCACAGTCTTTCAACTGGAGGTCTAGCTCCACCTCCAGGAAAGGTCCATGCTGCGTGCTTGTAAGAGAGGTGTAAAGCTATCACAGATAATGAAGTGTCCCCCAGCAACAGATATTTCAACCACACCCCAGTTAGTGATCAGTCTGCAGAGGTCTGTTAAGACTTAGGAGGTGGGAATTATGTCCAAGTGAAATTTCCAAGTGATGGAGGAAAATATTAACAGCACTAAATGTTCATTTTGAAGACATGTTGTGTTGCAAATAAGACTTATTTTGTGCAACATGTCCAGTTATTAAATATGTAACAAAGCATATGTGCAGGGTACTTAGGTTTTAGCTACCCTGGAAGTTGAAATAAATAGATTTTCATACAAACTCCAGCTTTTGGGGTAACGGATGGCCAGGTATCTCCCCTAAGGGGGTGGTTTAGGGGCTAATCAAGAGAAGCTGCTGCTGTCATTCATTCATCCCCGCTGCTGAGCAAGAGGACATGAAAGGAAATAAAGATAAAAGATAGTGTCCATGTACATGCTAGGGTGGATGCTGCTACTTGAATTCCAGAGCCAGAAAGAAGAGCTCCTGTTCCAATATCACAGCTGGGATTTGTGAAGAGAAAGGATATTTTGTGATGAGCCATTGTAGCCTTTGCTAGCAGGAAGTGACAAAGCCTTCCTCACAATGAAGCCTTGTTTTGTCTTGTTCTTTCCTGATTAACCTTTAAACAGGAACGAACGAAAAAAGCACTGATGCATGTATACTACATTATTTTTTTTCCCAGTGGCTAAAGATTGCAGCCAATTCAAATATTAAGACCTGAAAGTGCACATTCAAATGCAGAGCTGTGGTCACCTAAACCTGTTACTGCTGATTGGAGAATACTTGCCCTACAAAGAAAATCATGCAGTATTTTTAGCAAATAAATTATAGGCTGTTTTCCATTGTGAGACATAAGAAATGCAGGGGCTGGTGACGACTATTCTTGAAAAATATTTACTTCTTAAAGATTTTTCTTTTCCTTGGAAAGAATATTGTTCCATTTTTTTTTTTTTTTTTAATATTAAAATGGGCTAATGCTACTAAGGGCTTCTGTTCCTCAGCTGAGTAATATCTGCCATGTGAAAACCAAGTTCTATATCAGGAGCAATTTGAGAGTGGCACTCTGCACATCTGTACAGAAATCAGATTTAATTAGCCATGCTGAGATTCCTATTCCTCCTGTTGACTGAAGAGAAGAAATTCCATCCCAAATTGTAGATATCTGCCTTGGGAGATCTGTGCAAATCCAAATTCTATAGAGTCCCATGTTTCAGCAACAATTACTCAAACTGGGGATGTTGTTTGCTAGCTTAGCCAAAGAAATGTAGCCAAAGAAATGAAAAGATTCTGGTAACTACCTGCTCTGCTTTCAGCCTGAGGTAGCTTGGTCAACTGTTACAGGAGCAGAGGGACATCATAAGCATGCAAAGTGCTTGCAATGAAAGCACCAGCTTCCAAAGGCTCAGTTAGGCGCTGGTGGCAAGGAGATAAGGGTGCAGGCAGTCAAAAAGCAGTGGCTGACGGTGTGATGTCAGGAAAGCCTAACGCACAGATGGAGCAACATTTTGGTTCCTTTGCATTTGAGTGGTTTTATACCATAAGGAAAATATTCTATGCACACGTTTGCATGTTTCAAAACTACAATTGTATGTCCCTGCTGCTTTCAGTATATGTATCAACACCATCCTACTCTGAAGAGGTTTCTGTTGATGTGTAGCCTACAAAAAAGTTAACAGCTTCATTGATTCTATATCCTAAAAGGCTGAAATGTATTCTTTGTCACTTAGAAATATATTTCTATTTAAAGAGAGTACAGGGGAATGTATGTAAAGCATAAGAATGACATGTTTAATTTTAATTTTTGTGTTAAGGACTTCATGTTACTTGCTGTTGTTAGCATAGTGACCCAAACTTACTTCTCTAACAGTGTTAGGACAAGGCTGAGTCTCGTAGCCAAAGCCAGGTTTCTGACAATCCTTTCTCATTTGGGGCTGTCCTTTCAAAAAGATACAGGGTACCCTCTGGCTGTTTTGTGCAGTTCTGCTGACACATAGCAGCCATAAACCTAAGTTAACTGGCCAGTTATGGCTGCTCTGTGTCACTGAAGTGTATCTGAGAATCTGGCCCCTGGTCTGTACAAATCCTTTTAGGAGGAATCTAATATATGTTTTGTTTTCTTCTCTTTTGCAGAAAGATATGTGAGGAAGAGTAAGTACTATGCCTTTCTTACATTTAAAATAATCTTTAAAATATCTTTATCTCCAGTATGTTTAAAAATACATGCGGAAATTTTAAGAACACAAGCCTTTTGTGTCAATATAACCCACAGATTTTTCCAGGACATATGTGATAAAGGCTCTCAGTTTTAATTTCCCTAAGCCTGTTTAGTTTTCTAATTACCACTGCAGTATCTTTGCAGTAAGTATCTCTCAAAAATTGCGGTTTATGAAGCTACTTAATTTGGTTGCCAATTCATTTGGAGCCCTTTAGTATTACCTTGCTGTCTTATAAATGTGCTTAGAGAGCTCTGAGGTCTGCAAGACTGCTTGTCAACAACATAGTGTCAGTCTTTGAAATCGAGACAATCTGAAATAATTTTGTATCGGCCTCTGTAGACCTGCTACGATACACATTAGGTTCACAGGTAAAGCTATTTCTAAGGTGACTACCCCTTTGGTAGCCCTATATCAGAAGTCCACCTTGGGATCATCCACCAGTGGCTGGAAGAACATCAGAAAAGAACAAGCTCATTGCAACACTTTGACAGAACACTTACCCAGCCACTGATAACCTGTGGTTAACAGACTTCTGTGCCAAATGTGGCATCTTTGAAAAGCTGTAAAGGAGAGTTTATCACAGCTGCAGTTTCTGGACATCCAGTAGGTTGGGATCATTGAAATGCAGCAACTCCTGAAGTTACCTGCAGGGAGAGGTCAGAGGATGGGTTAGCTGAACTGAAGAAAATTATTACAACCCCTGACAGAAATGTTAAGAGAGAAAAGAAGAGCAAATGTGCTCTATAGTGGTAGGAGAAGAACACCTGTAAAGAGAGAATTTGTTAATCAGTCAATTACACATCATAAATAAGATCAGTGTAAAATACACTTTGAAGGATTTGCATGTTGAAATTCCACAGCTGGAGTTTTCAAGCTTTAGTCTATGACAGGAAATATTTTTTCTGCATTTTGTTTTGGTAAGGGACATTCTTGTATACTCCTGTCTCCCAAGGAGCAGGGCTCCAAGAGGAACAAAATATTGAGAGAGTCACAGTAAGATCATGTGAGACAGCAACATATGCAGAAATAGTGCAAGACTGGTTCCTCTGCCTTGCATAACCCTATTGGAAATTAATGCCTAGTTTTCTCCTTCAAACAATTTCCAGTGGAGTGTAGGATACAACTCACTTTCTGAGTTTAAACTGGCTCTTCTAAAGTTGTACAGAGTGCAATGAGCCAGATTTAGCTGCGAGACCCTCCCTGAGCTCGGCTACCTTGCATGGTGTGGTGGCTGCCTTCCCCGCTGACCGGCAGGGCACTCAGAATGCCATCACCTGCAACTCAGCGGAGGGGTTGCGGAGTCTCAGCAGCCTTAGGGCAGGACTGCGCCCAAAAATCTGGTTAACGTTGAGCTGGAAAATACAATGTAACTCACCCCAAACAGTCTGTGATGTTGCTGCTCCCAGATTGCTTTTCATTCAAGCATGATCAAGAAAACAATTACATAAATACCAGACAGTGCTGCCCTTTGCTAGCAGCTCGATAGGTTAAATTCTGCTTGGCTTAACAACTATGCAGCCTCAGTGAATTCCCTGGGTTTGCATGAGTGTGTCTTACGGCACAGTGAATTATTTGCCCTACATATCTTGTACTAAAATGAACTCACGTGCAGTAAACCATGAAGCCCAAGACTTTAAGTCGCGCTGCAGCCTATGATGCCTGCACACCACTTCAAAACTGCCAAGATGAATATGACACTGGCCTTAGTTCTGCTGTGCCATACTGGCCATCGTGTTTGCCACTGGACCTTGTTGCTGGGTGATGAAAGCAAACCCTGAATCACCTGTCTTGCATAGCTCACCACCATATGTTTTTTAAACAGGCAGGAATCTTTCTGCATTTGTGACTTTGTTTTGTTGGGAGGAGGGTGTGCTGTGAAGCTCACTGCAGTTAAGTCAGCTGCATTTACTGCAGAGCTACAGTAATAATTTGTGATGAGATTAGTACGGCTACGTATGACCTAGAATACTTGATAAATTCACAATAACATGGGGGGGAAGGCTGAAGTAGCATCACAAATGAATTATCAACTTAATTTTCTGCACAATAGATGTCACAAGCCGTTACTCGCCTCTTTCAGTTGCATGGCAAGGCCGTGTCCTGCCCCGCAGCCGGGTGCATCCTAACGGGGCACATTGCAAATGGGACTCGTCCAGGGAGAGTGGCTATCATCAGCTAATCTTGCTGCGGAGAATTAGATGAGTTGAACTTTGTGGCATTTAGTGCCCCAGGGAGTCATTATCTTATAACAAACCTACTATCTTTCCAACCATATTGCAAGACTGTGTCATGCAGATATGCGAACAGAGGGCTGTTTATCACTTGGGCAGCTGTCCAAAGTGCAACTATATAAAGAGAAGACACTTGAAGATTTTTCCATTCATGAGGCAGCTTTTATAGATTTGCATTCATGGAGCTTTTCAGAGAAAACAATAACAATTTAAGATTTTTTTTTCATTATTGCTGCCAGAAGCTGAAAGAAGGGAAAATAGCTCTTTATATTTAATGTAGGATACAGGGGAAATGAGGGGGATTGAAATGATGAGAAGGTTTGGGGACATCAAGAAGCCTTAAAAGGCATCTACAGTTAATTTTTTTCAGAACTTACAGATAATGCCTGTGTGAGAGAGATGGTTTAAATATGCAGATGTCTCTTCTCAAAGGCATTCAAATTGTTAGTTAATTAGTCAGCAGTAAGGATTGGCTCTTGTACTTTTTATACATATAAAAGTGGGTATGAAAGCTTTTTTTTACTTTTACTTTTTCTGCTGCGCAAAACAATACACGTCAGCCTGCAAAACCAAGTGGCTGTTCCCTGGTTTTTGTACTTTCCTTCTACATTGTGTTATTCCGTCTTTCCATATGCAGATATCCTTCTTTGTCTAGCATTAACTCTTGCACAGTTAATGTCAAAAAACCATTTCCCCTCCAAAGCAGCCTTTTTGGGCATGCAAACAGAAAGATTGCGTTGCTTTACTGCCCTTCATGCTGTTACCAACAGCTCACGCTCAGTTTCAAAGGGGGGGTCTGTGACTCACAAGTAGTTCATGCCAGCACTGGTGCGAGAGCATTGCCTGGTTTGCTCAGGAGCATGCTGTAATGAGGAGAGACAATGGACATGTCTGTCCTGCCACTGAAGCCTCAGTAGTGGCTGGCTCTGGCCCTAGGTCTTGGCCACCTGGTGTTACCTCCTCTGGGGAGACCCCATGTTCCTACTGGCCGTGTGGAAGGTAATGAAGGCACACGTGGCTCTGTCCTGGCTTTCTATGTTTTCTTCCAGTCTGTTGTGACACCCTGCAAATGGCACAGCCTCTTCCTTTCGAGCCTAGAGAGTGTGAGCAAAGGCTTTTTTCTAGAGTGGGGCTGGAGCATGAATTCAAGCTGGCTGGTAACTCCCTTGCATAGGGGCCAGAGAACTCAGGCGCCTTTGATAGCCTGAGCCGCTTGATTGCCTGGGGAAGCTACTCTGCTGCCCTTGCCAAGCCAGCAGGAACCGTGCCTGGAATCTCAGAGTGTCCCTGTGCCCGCGCAGGAAGCTGTGACTTTCCTACCCTCATCCTTCTGCCACCCTAGGCAGCTGCCTGCTTTGTCTTTGTGTAAGGTGACTTCCAGCAGGTTGGATCAAGCCTGGGTGAACCTCCTCCAGCATTCAGTGTTTCCCCAGGCCAGATCTGGTACCCTTTGGAAGCTCAGGCGTCATTAGAAATAGCCTGCTGGCAGCCAGCAAAGAAAAAGGTAAAAACACTGTAAAGCCACAGGTAAAAAGACAGTAAAGCTTAAGGGTCATTGTGGTGAGCTGAGATGCGCTGTGGGAAGTGAACAGGCATCCCAGTTACTTGCAGTAGGGAGATGTTGCAATTTTAAGCCTAAGGGGCCGGAGCAGGATGTAATAGCCCCACTCATGCGTTTCTCAAACTTCCTGTTATTTGTTCTTCCACCTACATCTCCCTTCCTGGGTGTTATGGTGTGTAAGTTGTACCACACGCACCCTCAGACTGAGTGGGACAGTTTCAGAGGTAATGTCTAAGCAATAGTCTGGTCGGTTGCTGAAAGTACAGAAAACTCAGACCAGCTGTGTATTTCTCATTGAGGGGGCAAGAGGAGGTTTCATTTACAATGGCCCCTGTTCCCTGACAGATGAATCTTATTTTTTGGCTTAAGTGGTAATTGCACTTCTATGACTCAGTGCAAAACACTGCTCTGGTTTTGATATCTTCTGTAGTTGAAAGCTCAACTGAAGGCTATAAAAGGCAGCAACTTCAATGACTAGACAGAAATAACAAGAAGATTTTGTCTTCAAGGGTTTTCTTCTTATGTGACAATTTTTTTTTTTGTATAAATTATAGAGGAAAGCCAAATCTAATGGACATGGGATCCCTGATGATCAAACCCGTGCAACGGGTGATGAAATACCCCTTGTTACTCTGTGAACTCTTGAATTCAACTCCTGCTTCTCACCCTGACCACAAGGCACTACAAGATGCCCTTTTTGCTGTGAAAAACATTAATGTGAACATCAATGAACTTAAAAGGAGGAAAGATTTAGGTAAGAAAAAAGCACAGTAGGTTCTCCTGTCTTTGTAGGTTTGGTCTGGCAATTACAAGAGAGGTTTCACCTCCAGTCATATCACTACAACTGTTTTGGTTGGTGCTACCCAAGTTGTGTAATATGCTGCGTTTCAAGAAGGTAACGGATGCTTTAATGTCACTGTCCTCAGCCAGCTATGCTATCTGACTGGTAACTCCAGAAATATGAAAATTATTAAAGAATTCATGTTATATCTGTGTTCATTGTCTGTAACGTAGTTGCAAACACTGATAATAATTAAGATGCTGTAATAGCAATACTTCCCATAGACTTGCCATGTTGAAGCCCTAACTTCACTCTTCCCAAGGCTAGCATTGATAATAGGGTTTTCATCATCTTGAGCATTTTCACACAAGATTACAGCAAGTGACATCAAAATGTCTACTCTCAAATGGTTTTATATTTGTGTGCCCATCCCTATGAAAGGCCCTGTGAATACAGATTATTAGCCTAATGGAATTCTCTGTCTGCAGTGCTGAAGTATAAGAGGAATGATGATGATGAAACCCTTAAAGAAAAGTTTTCCCGACTGAATATCCACTCCATTAGCAAGAAATCCAAGAGGGTCACCAGCCATCTGAAAATACTGACGGGGGGAGAACCTCAGGTACTTACTCATCCAACTGCAGATTTGCATTGACAGCTTCAGTTCTCCTTTTACACTGGGCATTTTTTAAAACATGTTGGAAATGGAGTTCGTGTTGTTGCTTTTTTCTGCATCATTTATAAAGTCATTTTCTGACTGTCACAGAAGACAGGAAAGATCTTTGTGATTGAAATAGAAAATAATGTAACGTGTTCCTCACCTTTTCCTTTCCTATCTAAGAGTTTCTTGAACTTCTGAACTTCAGCAGAGAGGAAGTGACTGGTAGTTTTGTGAAACTCAGCCTGAGATCAGCGCTTTGTGGATAGACTGGCAATAGTTATTGTCGGTGCTGAGAACATGTTCAGTCTGTATTGCTCCGCATTGTAACATTCAGGTTCTGAACCCACCAAGGAAGACGAGCAATACTTCTGATTAGGAAAGGCCATGGGGTTTGCCTCTACATGTGTAAGGACAACACTGCCAGAGGCAAAGAGCTCTGTGATAAGTCCGATAGGTGGCCAAAAATAAACGCTCCATCATAAATTTGAGGTTGTAATTCAAAACCTAGAAGGATAAACATTTTCAGGAAAGCTTAAACCTAAATCTCAAAGAAAATCAATTACAGCTGACCTTGAAAATTACAACTGGTGCACCTCACTGCATGAGATGGCTGATTGTACAAGGTCACTTGCCTTTCTAGATGTGACTTTACAAGGTACGTGCCGTTTTTTCCTGTTTTGTTTTCTATCAGTGTTTTCCCCCTTTCTGTGATGCAGACTACCCACATTTATTTTTTCTGTTCATTTATTTGCACAGTGGAAATTTTTGTATTCAGAATGGGGCACCAGTAGGGCTATAAAATCAGAGAAAAACAGGGAATTCAATTTGATTAAGAGAAGATGTGATTTTTCATTGTTTTTTTTTTTTTCTTTCGAAGCGTCTGTTTTATGTGGTTTTGTTTCTGTTTTTTAATTAAGCTTAAAACATTTGAGAATCATTTTAGAATCAGGATACATCTGTTAAAGAGTCAGCCCTCTCTCATGCTTAATTAGACTAAGAAAGTTCCCAGTCCACATCTCTGTGACCCTTACAGCAAGACCACTGAAAACAAGACTTGAGATTTCTCAAATTCCTCAAGTAAAAGGTAGGCAGAAACAAACGTATTTTCAGGTTTATTTCAGCTCGGATAAAAATGTAGTACTAGCCTATTTCCAGCTGCTCAGGTTTCTAGTTCAAGAGCTGGCACCGCTCTAGAGGTAACAGCTCCACCTACCGCCGGCCTGGGGGAAATCTCCCCGTCACCCACAAATAAGCACCCAGGGAAGTAATGCCGTGGCATAAAAATATCTTACAATTTTCACCATGGTTTCCTCAAATGAGCAACAATATAGAGAAAATGAAGAGTTTTATTGGCACACGTAGGTGTGCTTGTAATAAGACAACTCCCTGCTTCCTCAAAGATTAAAAGTTAAATTTTCTGTCATGTTGCCCTGTGCTTTTAACTTTTCTAGGATTGGAACTGGAGTCTGGGTGAATTAGGTGCCAATCTGTTCTGATTTCAAAGGGGGGAGTTCAGGGAAGGTTTGGGATTTTTCCAGCAGCGCTCTGGTCATTTCTTTCATTAGCCAGGCTCTTTTGGGCTGCCAAGATAACAGTGTAAACATTTGTTTAGGTGAAAGATCAAACTTTTAATAAGGAAGAAAAGTTGTTTCGAAGTTTAGAGAAGACCGTGAAATTGTGCGTGAAGAACATTTCACTTTCCTCACAACATCTACAGGTGGGTACAGGTCTTTCTGAAATCTGTGGCCACAAACCATGTCCATAACCAGTTTAACACACGTTTCGGCCTACTGGTTAGGTAACACCAAATTATTTATAGGCATTGATATATAGATTATGTCTACATCACAAAGTTAAATAAATGAGCTGTGCTGATGCTGCATTACTGAGCCCATGGCAAAGAAGTTTTGAAGCCCACACTTCTGCATTTTTCCCCTTACACAAGCAGGCTCTACGGAGATCCGTGTGCACAGTGCAGAAAAGAAGGTGCTGCCTGGTGGCACAGTTATGACTTTCAGTCGCTGTGTGAAGCTGTCATATGGGTCATATGGGTGGAGCACCAACTGCTCCTCACTAAAAATGCAAGAACTGAGTTGCAGCCACATGAATTAAAATATCCTAACATACACAGTTTGGATGTGACGACTCCTTCCTTTATCCTGTTGCTAGATTGTGTTGAGGGCTAGCATTAGATGTACAGAGTGCTCAAGTGCTGTATATGTCTTTGCTTTAATCCTCCTCTCCAAAGATGTGGGTTGGCTTGTAACTTATCAACTTTTCCTTCTCATGGACAACTTGCCAACTTTGCAGATGGCACGAGGGCCTTCAAAGTGTAAGTGTGCCCAAACCAGACACGAAGGTTGCTTCAGAACTGGGTAAGATCAATAGCCAGCTGGCCAGGTCTTATCGCAAACGTTCCTTGTTTCGTTCAGCAAACAGAGGAAGGCCAGTGAGCTCAGCCGAAAAGGGTTGTTGCCTGGAATGGTGTTGACAGCTCCTTATCCAAACAGATGCACACTTCATCAAGATTAAAATTCAGAATAAGTGAAATACATCATCGTAGTCCTACTTAGTCCTCCAAAAGAGGCCTTCGAGGGTACATGGGTCTTGAGCTGGTTACTTGCTGAGGAGCAGCTAACTTCCAGTGGGACATTCATTAGGTTGGGGTGTCATTTTTTCAATTGAACATTAACAACTAGATTCTCAAACAGTTTAGATTGAAAATAGACAAAACACAGGAAAATATTATAATAGTAAAACATCCCACAATGGCTGGAAACTGCACAGAAACTGCACAGGTGCCAGAGATGGAAAATATTTCTGATTCCATGAGTATTATTGCAGTAAGTGCATGAGTGAACGCAGTATATTAAAACAGATTGTAATACAGTTTCCTCTTCCTACCATCTTCTCATTTAGGATTCTATACATCTGGCTGCACAGAATATAATTGGGCTTCAGGAAATTTTGCAAGACAAAGACGATGAAGTCAACGGCTCATTGGAAAAACGAAACAACACTGCAAATCTCTGTGAAGACCTTGTAAGTTTATGCAATGTCCAGTGTTACACAGCTATCTGTATGTGTGAGAAAACAGGTGTATGAGAGGAAGACTAGGGCAGAAAAGAGCAAAAAACCCTAGGAATCCATTGGGAAAGATGTGTGGGTTTTTTGGTTGAGTTTCTCTAAGAAATAAGATAAAATTCCATGTAAGTGCACTGTGTTTTCCCTAAAAAAGCTAAAGAAAACTTCTCAAGTTAAATTTCTGGATTAAAACTAAAATCTTTTTGCTAAACTTGCACAATTCACCTGAGCTTCAGACAAGAGCAACAGGTCTTTGCTCTGCTACTTGCAGTTTTAGAGTGACTTTTGAGATCTTTGTTGTACTTGTGAACTATTAGCTCCTGGAATCATAGATCTGTGAAAATCTCAGCTTTATTACCTTTTCAGGTAAGTTACTGTCCTTCATATAGGGGAACCATGAAAAATCTGAATATAGCCCACAGAAATTAAACAGCAATTAAGTTAGTTTTTCAACTAGTCTCTTGCTTTCAGAGTCCAAACAAACTGTAATGCCTGGCTCTGCTAAGATAGGCTGAAATGCCTCCTCAAAATGGGGCAGGCTGCTTCTTAAAACAGCTGCTCAAGCTGGAAAAATTCAGAGGTGGAGGTTTTCTTATACTTTCCTAAGCTTGTTCTGACTAAAATATAGCCACTCAATCCTTTCTAAAACACTGAAAACAGAGTCTGCCAAGAAGCAGAAGGATCTTTAACAGACCACATCCTCCCAGATAATGACAGGGAAGCAAGATGTTGTATTTCCTTTCCCTTGAGGTTCCCACGTTTTAAAAGAATCTCAAAAATTAATGTCAATATTCAGAAAGATATTTTCAATGTCTTTACAATGAATGACTGCATGAAGTGCAGAAGAGTACCTTGCTGTCGTTGCAGTGGTGAGTGTGCCCAGTATAGAAGATGCCCCCATATTCAGAAACATCAAAGAAAACCAGAAGCAATTCCACAATTTTTTCCACTTTATTTTCAGAATAAATCTTATAACTCCTATTGGCTCATGACCCAGCTTTCTGAAGGTCTATATAATTTAAAAAACAAATCTTAATCTTATTTGTTTTAATTGTGGATATTGTTATTAACCGTGTTAACTTCTACTTATTATCTATTTCTGTGTCTTGGATTTACAAAATTACAAGGATTCTCTATCCTATGAATAAGTTTGGTTTAAAAAAACCTTTTTTTTCTGACATTACACAACGAGTAGATAGTCTCATTGAGCAACTCATAGTGTTCTTTACATATTTTCCTGAAAGGGTACTATCAATGGAGATCTCAGAAATGGGCTCAGGTTAATTTCGTTTTTCCTTTGTGCAGTTGTCAATAATGAATACGTTCCTCTCTCATTATATTTTAGGGAAAATTTTAGGGCAGAAATCCACAATAGCCTCTTCTCTTCCAGAAATCAGGTCCAGCAGTTTGGAAAAATTGTTTTCTTAATGCATCAAAAATTGGTTTGCTAAACACAGCCCAGTTTTTCAGGTGGAAATGAAGTCAGAACTATCTAGCCAGTGTACATCATCTTGGCCTTGGGAGAGCAATTCTGGTGCTAAAATGGATCTGTCCGCAACTGTGGTGTGTTACAGAGGGTAGAGGGACAGTTGCTCTTTTATTCTCACATTCAACCCAACAATTTAATTCACATAGAATGTCCAAGAGCTTTAATATGATGATGAGTTTCACTCACTACAAGCCTGTGCTGTATTTGACCAAGTGACTTACAAAAATAAATTTTGTTTCATGCAATATTAATCCCTTGAGAAAATTAGAGACTAATGGAAAAGTCTGAGAAATACTTTGGTTTTTTTACCAGGTGTCTAATTTTGTTGATTACTAGAGATAAAACCAACAAGCATAACATAATTTAATCAAATCAAGTGATTGATTGTGTTTGTTTAAACAGGAATTGAGTTACAGCTGTTTCCAGGGAAAAAAAAAAAAAAAAAGAAAGAGCTTTGATAGGTTCAAGATGCAAACTGCCATTTAACAAGATCTCATTGCCTCTAGACTGTGTATTGGCATGGCCTTCCAATTATGAATCCTTGCCCAGTTCTTCCTCAGTGGTAACACACTAAGGGCAGTACCACAGGCTGCGTGCTCCAAGGGACTGCTACCAGACACTTTAAGCTGCAAAACTGCTACCTCTCTTTTGCAGTGTTGTGAAGGAGATTCTAACTCATGCTAGGCCCTGCTTGAAGCTGCCTCTGACAGCAGTGCCTTGTGAAGTCATTAATAGGTTGCTTGATAGGCTGCCATCAGGCTTAACCTGTTACTGGGTCTGAAGGACTGTATGAACATAGTAGTAAGTGGGTCTGTTTTATACCTTTCCAGATGGCTCAGCTGAACAAGCTTGTTTTGGCTCCTCTCTCGGCACTACAAGCCCTGTTTTCAGGCCCACTAAAGCTCATCCAGAAGCGCTATGACAAGTTGTTGGACTACAACAGCTACCTTCAGAAGTCAACGGGAATAGAGCTGGACCTGGCAAAGAAAGACTATGAGGCTCTAAATGCACAGTTAGTGGAAGAACTTCAGGTATTCAACAGAGCAGCCAAAAAGATTGTGTTGAACTGCCTGCATTGTTTCATTACCCTCCTCAGGGATATTATGTCTGCAGCACTTCAATCAAATTCTGCTGTGGTGGTGCCTGTTCCAGTAAGTACATTAGAAACAGGTGTAGCTCTGCCTTTTTTTGTCTTTTTTCTTTCTGTATGATTTGGCTGGAGTTATGTAGGACACATACCTACAAGCTACACTGATTTTGTGTGTTCTGCTAAGCACAGTCAGTTTTTATTTGTTTTTTTTTTCCATGTAAGCTCAGCAAAGGTTAAGTTCTGAGCTTAAGTTTTGTCAGGCCTGGACTTTTAATCGAGAATGATCCTAATGCAACTGTTCCAGCTGCTACAGTGGTAGTAATATCAAGAACATTACAGTAAGGCAAAAAGGAGGCAGCTGCTAGCATTTCAGTCTTTGTTTCTTAGCGTATACCCTGAGTAGCCCAGAAAACACAGGAAGAAGAATTCTAAGCAAGTACGTGAACACTCCTATTGCTGCTAGACCTGCAGAATCACAGATGACTGCAGAAGAGAAGCAGGTTAGGAGATCTGATGAAATAATTTCTATGAAAAGCAAGTCGCTTTTAAACCGAAATATGCTGCAGAAGCTCCTGCAGACATCTCTAGGCAGTAAGGAATAGTTTTGTCTATGTTAGAATTTTTAGAACATTCAAATCACTTTGCTTATGTAGCCAAAAGTACCAAAGATGTCTGTCTGAACTACAAAAAAAGGCATCAGTTCCTCCAGCCCACTCTACTCTTTCTGGGCATTATGATCATTACCTGAAGACTGAAGTTGAGAAGTTATTCTTAATTTGTGTGAAAATCCTACAGTGTTTCAGTTTTGTTGTACGTTTGCCTAGAGGACTTGAACCCCCCCAAGAAACACAGCTGCAACGCTGCCTTCCACACATCCAAATCCGCTCACCTGAACTGGAGCAAGACTACAGATAAGAAACATGTTGCAGTGAGGCAATTCTGGCTTGATCACAGCACTTTATAGTTAGGGGCAGCTGAAAAATTAAGAAAGTGAGGTCAGGATCAAAAGACAGAGCTGCACTGTTTAATGGGAAAATGAAGGCTTTTCCCGCATGAAGAAATTGCATCCCTGTAATTCGACCATTTCATGTTTTGAAAGCTGTTGTATCGAGCATTGTTTTCGGTGAGGCTCTGCCTACAAAACTAGCTTATTTTTTCTGTTTACATCAGCAATTACATTTGGATTAGGCATAAACCGAAAGCACTTATCCAGTGCCACAGACAGAGCTTCAGCTTACCCAACGATTATTAACCTGGTGGCAGCACCCAGCAGCACAAACACACAGCTGTAGGGTAAACTCCTCCAAACCTTACAGCACATTGGCCGCTCTGATAGCTGCTGAGATGCACATTTGCATCTGAAAGCAGGTGGCTCAGTAGTGTAAGTGCAAGGCTGTTCATTTTCATCATGTTTAGAATATTTTTTAATGATTTAACTTAAATTAGTGTGTCTTTTAAATCTGATAGCAATCATTAGAAACTTTCTTTAAGCAAGGACCTTTCCTTTCTTTCCATCTCGTACCTAGCACACTATGGGCTCTGCAGAAAACAGCAGTAGCTTGTCAGATTTCCTGACACCTGGCATTCAGCCTATCAAACCAAATCTGCTCTCTCAAATCTCCTTGCTATTTTGCTTATGAGATCTAACCCACCTTTGTGTTTGCAGCTGTCTTCCTCAAGCATCTGTGAAGTGCAGAATCAGTTGATGGAGGAGGTTCACAAGCTGAATTTTGTAAAAGAAAACAGCAGTGCAACCTTTATTGAGAGAAAATTGAGCTTGGAAAAAAAGAAACCTGTCCCTTCTCTGGTGAGTACCACACATCTGAATTGTGTATGAAGTATCCTTTTTATTTTTTTGCTTTTGAAACAAATCCATTTTTATGCCACCTAAAGGTTTGGGCTTGGTCTCTTCACTGGGACTCTGAATCAAGTTGTTGGGCTGAAGCAGTTCCATTGACCAGTATCTTTCAAAGATTTTTCACTACGTTTTCATGTCATTATCTTGAAAATCCACTTGAAATTATCTCTGATTACCCTTAGGTCTTTAAGCACATGTTAAGTCTGAAGTTGTATATGTAAACTTTGATTACTGCTTTTGTTAAATACTCTTACAGTGCATCTTAGTGTTCTAATTCAGAAATTTTGTTTCCTCATCCTCAGCTGTGGTCGTGTGTACTGTCTTTGCACACATATGCACACATATACACCCCCACAGCAGGAAATCTGTGTCCCCCTGGTTCCCAATATTATCAGACATTTCCAGAGCTTTTAGGAGTCTAGTTTACAGCAAAATAAAAACTCAAGTGCAGATTTACAGGGGAAGCTGCGAAAGCTGTAGGATTCATTTTAGCATCAGTAAGGCACATGTGCTCTTTCTTCTGTGGTGTGGTGGGTTGACCCTGGCCAAAATGCCAGGTGCCCCCCAAAGCCACTCTATCACTCCCCCTCCTCAACTGGATAGAGGAGAGAAAAAAAAAAAAAACCACAACAGGCTTGTGGGGTTGAGATAAGGACAGGGAGATCACTCAGCATTTACCGTCACGGGCAAAACAGGCTCGATTAAAGGAAAATGTGATTTATTACAAATCAACTCAGAGAGGAGTAATGAGAAATAAAACCATATCTTAAAACACCTTCCCCGCACCCCTCCCTCCTTTCCCAAGCTCAACTTTGATCATGTTTTTTCTCCCTCCTCCCCCCTAGCAGCACAGGGGGGAAAACAGGGAATGGGA